TTTTTTTATTTTCCAAGTGTGGGTAATTGAATTGGTGGCTTGGCCGTGCTGTGTTTTGTTGTTTGGATTTTGGTGAAAATTTGGGAGAAATACGCATGTTCCAGATATTGCCTACTAATTTGTTATACAGGTTTTGACTTTAACTTCTTTCATGAAAAAAGTAAAGGCTATGGTTAACTGTCCGACTCCATTTTCGGGTATTGGCAGGCGTGTAGAGGTAAACTTTTATAAAGATTTTTTTTTTCTTTTTTACGATTTAAGTGCAAAGTTGCACATATAAGTTTGATTCTGCTGCTGTCAATGAGGATGTTGTTTTGGTTATTGGTTGTTATTGGATTCATATTGGTTTTAGGTACTATTTTGTAATTATATTTTGATGAATGGTTTGTTTATGCATTAATAATGTATATATATACATTAATTTGATTATCCAATTTTGATTCATAAATATATATATACATATATATATATATATTAGATACGAATTTATTGGTTTTTTAGTAGATTTATTAGATCATACAAATTTTTGACTTTTTAGCAGATTTATTAGATACATAAGAATTTTTTATTTATTTAGTTTATAGATACATACGAATTTATTTACGGACAAATCATATTGATTTTATCTTGAATTTCATTTTGATATCTATTTACCTAAATCTGGAGGATTTTTTTTCCGGCAACGATAAATTACCTAAATCGGAGGTTATATTTCCCTTTTGATTAAAATATACAAATTAAAAGCATATTATAGTGGTATAATATTGCGTTTATTTATTTACTTTATATAAAGTTATGTATATATATATATATATATATATATTAACTTAATAATATTTACCTAATTGCATAGATTCAATTAAAGAAAAATATCAAAAATTTTATATTTGTTACACGTTCGAAATAGTTAGTGTTAACATCTTGGATTAAAAAAAAAATAAGAACATAAAAAATTTTGGGAACCTCAAATTACTAACATTCTTTATTACCATTTTTTTTTTAAAAATCATATATTTAAGAGATAAATACAAAATATTATTGGAATAGTTTTATTACCACAAAAATCGAAAAGAAAAAGAAAAATTAAGTCTTAGGATATTCTTGGGATATGATCCGATTTCCCTCAAAACCGCAAAAAAAAAGATCAAATCAAGTAATAAGCTTATATCATATAAATCCACATTTTAAAACTTAGAAAATAAGTGCATATATAAGCACCAAAATTTCATCTATAAATAAACTCACAATCCTGGTAAAATGAAATCCAATACTAATCATAAACTCACACATTCAAATAAAAGGCATGGATCAACTCCTGGTCTAATCAAGGTTATACAGGTTTTGACTTTAACTTCTTTCATGAAAAAAGTAAAGGCTATGGTTAACTGTCCGACTCCATTTTCGGGTATTGGCAGGCGTGTAGAGGTAAACTTTTATAAAGATTTTTTTTTTATTTTTTTTTATTTTTTTACGATTTAAGTGCAAAGTTGCACATATAATTTTGATTCTGCTGCTGTCTCATGGATCAACTCCTGGTCTAATCAAGGTTTTAAATGAAATACAAAGGTCATCTTGAAACTTCTAACATCTTTAAGACGATCTTTGATGTCTCTTTCAGAAGTTATTTGGAAATAGTTTTCCACGATAGTGATGTTAGTGTTCTTCATTATGTGATTTAATAGTAGTTGTCAATATTTATTGTTGACATATTTTTTGACGAAAATATTATTTTTGTATTGCGATTTTACAGGGTGGCCGCATAGCTGGACTAATTCATGACGTTAACATTACAAAGATGAGTGACAAGTTCGAGGATGGTAAAAAGTAACATTGGTAAATCACAATCTATTACTGCAAAGTGTTGGAGTATCCTACCGATTTCCCAATGTTTTATTTTGACTTCTGTAAATTTGCTAAGCAGCAAGATGTTGACAATATAAGCAAATGGTTATGTTTTTAATTTTTTTTTTCAAATATATAGACATGCGTGTGGTTGTGTTTTACTTTAGTTCTCTACGTGTTATGTTAATAACGTATATCCCATCGTTTAATATAAATATTAATATGTATCTCTTACCCGTGCATCGCACGGGATTCGTACTAGTTATGTTTTATATCGATTGAAATAAGTATATTATTTTTATTTTATTTACAACACATTGGTCAAATTAAACATTATTGGAAACAAATGATGTGATATAATACGTATAGAAAGGATAACAAATAAATAAATATTAAGTATTTCAAAATTGAAAATTTTAATGGTAGATAGTAATTGAATTTGTAACTAAAAAAATTAAGACTAACATACCAATTTTTAATACCTGAAATAGATACTTTTTATGTACTTAAAAGTTCTAGTTAAAACAAATGTTCATCTTTTTTTATTTCCAAACGATAGAAACGATCTCATATCACATAAAAACGGGAAGTACACATCGAAGAGCTCACTAGCCCTTACAACAAACAACAAACAAGGGAGAACAACTCCAATGGTGGCCTAGACTCAAACAACCAAAGCACTAAATGCATAAGCTAAGTTAAGAACCCTTTAGCACTAGAAATAACACAAATAAGCCTGCAAATCCAAGGAAACAACCCAATAACACAACAAAACAAAACCAAACCAAAGCCACTGGACATAAAAACCTAGCCTCGATCCTACCACACCAAACTACCTAGCATAAGACAAACAATATTCCTCCCATTCTCTTTGTGCCATCTGAACAATGAAGGCCTCCGACATCCAAATTTTCTGAAAAATCAACAGATTACGTGACTTCCACAACCACCAAAGGATATATGTTGAAAGTTGAATGCGGGTTTCAGAAGTTGGCGAGTGATCCATCTCAGATATTCTCCACCACCATCTTCGAAAATCTTTTTCTGCATCTTCTCCAAAATCCCAAGAAATAGAGGCAAGCCTCATACATGCTGTGCTCACTTGCAATCAAAACAAACATGACTCCAGTTTTTGGACTGTCGCCACAGCAAGGGTAAATAACATCCACTTCAATCCCTCCTGCTCAAGTTCATACACACAAGTAAACTATCCGTAAAACATTTCCATAAGAAGTGTTTTAGTTTGTTCTTGACATGCAAATTCCGGCATCGCATTCTTGCTTTTTTAGCTATAGATTGAGTATGACTGCCACCAGGGCAATCCAAATTCCATATATTCTATTGGAATCACTACTTTTAGGATTTAATTTATCATAACTTAATGTATGTATGTGCGTAAATCTAGAGTGGCTTACTCATTAAAACTAAGCATAGAGTATAATTTAGTGACTCATTATAACTAAAACTAAACATAGAGTATAATTTAGTGTGTGTGTGTGTGGAGAAATTTGAATTAATGATAAAGCTTAGTTTTTCCTAGTCGTCATTTCAACGTTAAAGTCCATTTGGTGTTGAGGTATATTGTTATATTGTGGCAGTCATGAAGAAATGAGTAAGACTTTTGATTTGAAACTAGTGCAGAGCCCGTGCGATGCACGTGCCGCACAATTTTAAGCTATTTATCCTAACTTATAATTATATACATGAATAAAGAAAAATGTACGGGATATATATAATAATGTACGGGATATATATAGTGCGTGACCCGTGCGAGGCACAGGATATATTTATTTGGGATGAAAGACCTATTAACTTGTTTGATTAAGCTAAATCATTGATTCATTATTTTGAATGAAATACTGATTGGGGATATTTTTTTCGTAGGAGGTTGAAAGTGAGGAAGACGATGACTCAATATTTTGAGATTTATAACTTATAATTGGTAGAGTAGAATCAATATCTGTTAAGATTTTTAAGAAAAATTCTTGATATACGGAAATCACGTAGATCAGATTTTCCATACAATTAGATAAGATTTTTGTACAAAGATAAGAAGGAATTTTAAATTTACACAAACTATAAATATTAGATGTATTGATTTACGTAAATCAATATCTATATAGATAACCAAACCCTTCAATTTAGGTTTGACATCTGATTTATTTTGTGTAAAATTAAGATTTTATCTTCCAATCAAATATACCTTTTTTTGTTTTATGTACATTTATTTTTTGTACCGATTTTATGGAAAAAAAAAACAATTAAATAAAAATTAATTGATAGAAATATAATGCATTAATTACTTTTGACTTTTCTTTCTACTAATTCTAATAAATGAGATGGCTCTTTATATAAGTATAGATTAAATGTTCGAAAAATTGGTATTCAATGTATGTTGTAATGTATGAATAAGTAATATGTATTGTGATAGCTAATAATTGAAATAAACTAAAAAATATATACAAATAAGTAATATTCAAATATAATATTAAAAATTTCGAACCAAGTTCTATTCGATGAAATGAAAAACAGCATCTACACAATGCGGCTGTTAAAAATAAAAAAATAAAACTAAAACTATAACCTAAATTATTTCAAAATAAGACAGCAATCATAAGAATTCAGTTAATCTTGTTTAGAATTTTTATTTGTATAATAATCATTATCTTTATTGTTGTAAAATAGATATCTGTTAGGAGTGCTATTCAAAATCATATGGGATCAAATTGTTAGGTCCGAGTTTGAAGGCCAACATAGCAATTAAAGAGTCTGGTGAATCAAATACTTCTTTAGCATTTTTATTTGTAAAATAATCTTTATCTTTATATTTGTAAAATAAATATCTTTTAAGATAGCTATTCAAAATCATACGGGATCAAATTGTTAGGTCCGAATTTGCAGGCCAACAGATTAATAATGTCCGAAAATCTATATTTAGTAGGCATTAAATGTATTTGGCGGGAAATAACTGCTAAAATTATTAAATGGTTAATCTTTTTATATAATGATAGATGTATTTGCATGAATAAGAGATTTGGACAATAGTCAACAGATATTTGGCTAGTGGATATTAGATTCCTCACTACGGAATCTTAATTCTGAAGTAAGAATACAATTAAAAAGAAAAAGAAATCAATGTCAGGTTAAGAGACAGCTAATTTTGTAATGAAATCAACTATTATTTTATAGAAAAATAGCAAATAGAAATCAATGAATATTATGCATCATGAGTATTCAGTTAAGTATAAACAAAACATTTAATTAAAAATAACCAACTCTGTCAGAAGTATCCACTGGTGATTTGTGGTATACACCTCTTAAACACAACTAAACAAAAAAAAAATATATTTAAGCCTCAATAAGAGAGATTGGAGCCCCTGATGATACAAAACTAGAATTTACCATAATATACACACTAAACAATAATCAATCACATCTCTTGCAGCCACACAATACTTGCAACACCAACACGAACAATTTGAAGCCCAATGACTTGCAAAAGAGTTTCCATTTCAGAGTTCTTTTGACCAAAGACTTGCAAAAAGAGTTTCCATTTCAGAGTTCATTTTGTCAGAAGCACACACCATAAAATCATCATGTGGTAACTCATAAAACAAAGTAAGACAAGCAACCATTCAGTTAGTCCAAGCACAAAGGCTCGTCTTCTTCCAGCAAACAGAAACGCCCTTTCATTGGATGACGAATATCGTCTGGGCAGAAACGACACCACAGCCCTGCACAGAATCATAGATAATTTTTTTAAAAGTAGAGAAACAGTTGAAAATATATAATTAAACAATAATTAATTAGATCATGGCATGTATAATTGCTTAGTAGTATTTACATACCATCTCTTTTAGTGACACAATACTCCTCAGAAGTATCCACCGGTGCCAATGTCGCAAGCACATACTCGTCATCAGCAACATCCGATAAATAGAACTCGGCAAACAAAACGTGTAATTCTTCTTTGGGGCCCACACTTGCCACTAAGTTCATATGCACCCAAGTTGTCTTCTTTTTAGTGAAGTCCATTAAAAGACCAGGGCATTCAAAACTATTGCATTCCAGAGCCCTTTCGAGCTTCAAATTTATTCCCTGGATTCGTATTTTTTTTTTTCAAGACAACAAAAATATTAAAAAAAAAGGCAAAAAAAGAAAGGGTACGAATGAAAAGAAAAGTAGAAAACAGAACTAGGAAGAAGGGTTGAGCCGACTAAAATACATGTTTCTCATTGTAGTCCTGTATTGCAAATTCTGCAAATTCGGTGGCATCTTGTTCGGACAATATGATCGACTCGCAGGCCTTTTTTCTGCACGAAGTACAAGTAAATACAAATGAACTTCCAATACAAAAACATATGTAATGAATTAGCGGACGATTACAAAGAAAAAGCTAGATTACACGGGATAAAATCCAGCACGAAATCCTGGTCTCGGACACCAAATGCAAGATGCACAAGTACAACCATATCCATGATTAATATTGCTTCCTTCAACAATTTTGTCCCCTGCAACAAACCAACAAAACCGGAACAAACAATCAGCATAAAACTAGAAAAGGCTCTCACTTGCTGAGGCATATTTAAACTTTAAGAGTGATTACAAGTTTTTGTTCCATCACATGAGTCTCCAAGCATCACCGAAAAAAATATCAAAAATAGAAAAGAGGAAAACGAATGATATCCACATAATGCAAGAAACTTCAAATTGCGGAGAAAGCAAGAAAAAACAAAAAACATCAACAAACGGGGATACAGTTCACCTGAATAATAAGAGGGCTCCACGAGAGACAATTTAGTGTGCTTAAGCTTACTATCATCGAGATATGATTCAGCGAAGAACACGAGTGGCTTTTTGCTACTGGGATCCGCCTTTTTCCGCCTAGCCTCAAAATTGGAATTCTTCCAAAGTCCACGGATTATCGTAAAATCAACGCCAACACCAATGGTCCCATTACCCCATACCTTGCCTTCCAATATCCTCACAAGCTCCAAGTCAGTCCCCTAGAAATTTCAAAAATATATATATATAAAAAATTAAGTATGGAACAAAACTGCAAAGTTCCAATTACAGGGAAATGATAAAAGATGAGGGGGATGAAAACTTAATAACATGTTTCTTGCTGTAGTCGCTTAATGCAAGCTCTGCCCCCTCCTCCCATTCCTCGATACCCAGTATTACCGCCCTGCGAGAGCGATAACAAGATAAATCGCAACATAGAAATATTTATGTCTTATCAATTGTCTAAGCACAACAATATTAAGGAATTCACAAGTAAACTAGTGACAGATTAGCACTACCAATATCATAAGCTGGAAAAAAACATGGAGATGGTGAAAATGAATCATCGCAGATAAAGAATCAAACAAAAACATCAAATTCACAATACAAGCAATGCCCTAATTCGAAGAAAAAGTTCGTAAAGGATAAAGAAGTCCACAACAACTCACGCGCCGGCGTTAGTATATACTCGACAGGTCTGTTTACACCGCATGGCTGGGATCAATGGAAACGGAAAAAGGAAACAACAGAAAAACTCGATCCGATTGATATTAGCACGGCGGCTCCGACGGAATTTAACGATTGAAATCTCAGACTTTTATCGTAAATACAAATTTTTTATTGATTGCATGTAGGTGACTTATTTATAACTAGTACAGTACCCGTGCGATGCACGGGGGGTGAAAATCTCCGTCCCTTTTACAAAGCAAATTGAAAATAAAAATCAAAGTACGTAGTAAAGGAAACATGATGTCATTAATAAATAATAAACTAATAAATATAACGGAAAATAATCTATATATTATTGAACACTTCCTTATATACAACGTTCATGGTTTGATTTGTTGGCAATTCATCGTCGCCACAAATTAGGATTTTCAAACCAATTCTATTTGTGACACGGGAGACAGCTACATACAACTGCCCATGACTAAACACCGGTTTCTTAAGAAATAAGCCCACATGAGACAACGATTGTCCCTGACTCTTATTTATAGTCATGGCATAAGATACCATAATGGGAAACTGACGACGTTGGAATTTGAAAGGAATTCTAACATCAGATGGAGTTATAGCCATTCTTGGAATCAACACTTTATCACCTTCGTGATCGCCAGTGAGGATCTTACACTCGAGAACATGAGTGGAGAGCTTTGTCACTACCAACCGTGTCCCATTACACAGACCCATAGAATGGTCCATATTCCGCAATAGCATGACTGGAGTTCCAATCTTCAAGTACAACTCATGATTGGGTATTCCAGAACACTTTATACTATTCAAAAACTCGGGCGTATGGAGATCGGACAAAAAGTCATTATTAGAATCTGATTTGCACGTACTGTCAGAGCTCAAGTACGTACGACCATCCGACAAATTCAACGATGTCATGTACTCATTGATAGAATCGACAATATCCAAAGTCGGCGCTAATATAGCCCTGTCCTTCAAATAACTTGGATCGTCGGTTGCATCCTTAAACATTGGGTATGTGCTTTCAACAATTTGAGCAATAGGGTCATCAGATGGTTGGAGCAATATGTCATCGGGTATGTCAATCATTGCACAACCATCGTTCGCCCCCCCTATAGTTCCATCTCCAATGCTGGCTATCCAATCCGCAAACCGAGCAAGCTCATCACGTTCTTCTGAATTAGCCATTCCCTGAAGGCGCATGTTTTTCGTAAGCCTTAGCACAGTGCAACTTCTCCATATGTCAGAAGCATTGATGGTAGCATTAACTATGTCCTGACGGCTACCCTTTGGAATGACGGGAAGGATTTGTCGGAAATCTCCACCAAAAACAACAGCTTTCCCGCCAAACGGTTTGTCCTTGTTTGAGGGGTCAATTGCTCCCATAATACTCTGCAGAGATGTCTGTACAGCTTCGAAGCAGTGTTTGTGCATCATTGGAGCCTCATCCCATATTATAAGAGAAGCACGAATTATCAATTCGGCTAGAGGGCTCGACTGATTGATGTCGCAAGTAGATTCCTGGTGTGGATTCAATGGTATAGAAAATCGGGAATGCGCCGTTCGGCCACCTGGCAATAAAAGCGATGCTATTCCGCTAGATGCGACGCATAAGACTATGTTACCCTTGGATCTCAAACCAGCTGATAAGGTCCTCCACAGATACGTCTTCCCAGTTCCACCATAACCGTATACAAAAAACACACCGCCTTGGCCTGATTCAACAGCGGACATAATTTTGGCGTAGACACTCTTTTGTTCATTAGTCATGTTTTGAAGAAGCGTATCATGTTCAACAGTGAGGGCCTTTCGATCATAATTCAACTCATCTAATATCAGACGATTCGAAGTTGAATGCATGCTGTCCCTGTCCGGATATGGCATAGATGAATATTCTCGAAGACTTGTACCACGACGCCTCAATAAAGCCTCAATCTCAGCAAGGGCTAGGTTTTTAATTTGCTCCTCAGTAAGTTGTAAATCTATCAAACCGAACACATAAACAAAGATAAAAAAACACTTTTAATTAAATATTCCTATTTGTATATAAACTTGAAAATGAATAGTTATTAAAATTGATATTGATAGATGAAAACAATTAGTACCGTCGTTATTGAAAAGTCGACGCTGTCTGTACAGGATGTCATCAGACATACATTGCCAACACTTATTCCATACGTCATCTGGTCTACCAAATGAACCGGACACCAATAAAGATGCGAACATGCGTCTAAGGGAGTCTGCAGATGCCCACTGACTTGCCTCGGTTATGCCATCTACGTACTCTCGATCGTCCTCTAACAAACCTCGTTCATAGCAAGCATCACGATACGTCAGATACTGGACATCACCGACCTTCATATAGTCCTCATGACATGTTGCCCCACGCACAACAGGAAGCAAACATCGCAAGTAATAATTATCTCCACAACCGGGAGGCACGTACCGCAAACGACCTACAGAGGGTTTGTCCTTGTTTTTTCGAGGAGTCCACTGTCTTATTGTTGTATCCCACACAAACTTGGACGGTGCCTCAGCATAAGTTATTTCCCTCGCTGCAGGATACTGTTTGTTTGCCTCGAACCACGCAAGAAATTGGCTCTCATCAACAGTGGGTTTACGGAGAACGTTTAGAAGATTTCCATCATCGTCAAATAATATTCTTTGTTCTCCAAATAAATGGAAGTTCAAGCGCTGGACGGGAGGTTTTTTGTACTGCAACTCCCAACCGAACAACCGCCATGACGCCTCACACGATGATATGTACCGACAATCGTAATACATTTTTATCTCATCCAACGGTCTTTCAATGTCCGAATCGGCAGAAGTTTGATAAAATGATGCCGTCACACGATCGTTACCCTTGTTGACATATTTGAATAGGTACTTTATAGATCGTGATTGATTGCACCACTCAACATTAATATGCGCTCCAAACTTCATAAGCAGACGCCGGTTATGAGGCACGACAAAACCATTGTTGACAACAATACCATTCTTTTCAAGAGAAGTTCCATTGTCACGACGCCTATACCGTGGATAACCCTCTTCGTCAACCGTTGTGGAATCAACAAACTTCTTAGGAAATCGTTTGGTGCATTTTCCATCCACCATACACGGCGAGTCTTTTTTTGCCAGACCACACGGACCATGGATCATATGCTCCTTTACGGCCTCGTAATATTGAGGATCAGAGGCTTCATCGGGTATCTCCGCTGATATAATTCTATCTATGTCTGAAGGGTTGGGAAACTTGGACTCTTTAGAAAGGAATAACAATATGTGAGCATGCGGTAATCCACGTTTTTGAAATTCGATCGTGTAGACAACTGGATAAGAAAAAATAATCAATAAATGAATAAATAGAAAAATTATATATATCATCATCAAGTCAAATTCAAATTGAAATATGAAAAAAATAGTAAATAAATCGTTTGTGGAAATGATTAGGAAAGGACTATAGTAATTATATATAAAATATTAAACGTCTCACCTGCTATTACTTTCCCAAAAATTTGCTTTTGACTGAAATCCCTAATCAATTCCTTAAGTTTAGCTCGAAATACCCTACACACGATATCTGGTCGATCCTCAGCTCGCAATTTCTTTGGCTCGAGATAACGAACAATTTCCGGCCATTTGGGGTTACAGGTGAAGGTAATAAACAAATCAGGATACCCAGCCCATCTACAAATTGCCATTGCATCTTGATAGTTTTCAATCATATTCCGAGCACCACCAGTGAATGATGAAGGAAGAATAATTCTTTTTCCTATGGTACTGGGATTGGTGTCGCCACGAAGAACGGCCTCAGCCACACCATTATACAAATCACAACGGAGCTTTTTCTGATTGAGACGAATGTATCTCAACCTTGCAGATTCAACCATGGTATAAGCATCGACTATAAATTGTTGGTATAACCTTCTGGAAGAAACAATAGTCGAAGGTTCACAATCTCTATCATGCATTCTGTATGCAAAGTACTCCCTTACACTGACATGTTTTCGACCATCTTCACGTACTGGCGTGCCTTCAGAAAAAAGTATGTCTTCTCTGTACCCATCCTCACCATAAGGCAACAGAAGAGGATATTGTAATGCCAAGTACGAAGCATTTAGTTCATTAATCCGTTGTAGACGACCACTCTTAGTTTCAACCAATATGTCCCTTTCACCCAAAGCCTGGTCAAAATCGCCAACAACCAATATAGCAAGTTCTGAACTCGTAGGCAAATTATATTGCCTGGCATCTTTGTATCTCCTACCAATCAAACGCACTCGAACATTAGATTCGCCCAGCTCTCGCATTCTATCTCTGGCCATACGAAATGATTTGACCAGTTCGTTGTGTTGGTCTAACATTTGCTTTAATCCAACAACTATTTCCTCATTCAAATTATTACTACCAGATCCATTCCTGCACATCAATAAGTACATATTATATGTCAATATTATAAAATTTTAAAAAGCTATCTATAGACATGTTCTATATAATGAACAAAATAATTAAAGAATATATTTATGAATTAATTTTGCATATAAATTAAAGTAAAGTCATACCTCACAGCATTCATTCGGTTAGAAATTTCATTATCCGTGTCATATATATACAATTGCGCAAACTTTGGAGAAGCACCTTCAGAAGGAAGTAAACTACCGATTAGATGGTAATTTTGTCCATGCAAAGAAAACACCGGTGGCCCAGTCCCCTTATTGATATCGGAATCTATCTTTCCTCCTAAAGAAGTAAAACCGAACATGCTATTGTATGATCTTATGTTATCCTGAAAATGTTTGCTTAATTGGCCATCTCCATGAAGCAAATCTTTCAAGAATTGGGGAGGATTTTTCAAAAGAGGGAGTTCAATTTTGCCATTTGTGCAACAAATGGTGTACTCAGGTACAACTGCATTTTGATTATAAGCCTTTCTCTCCTCATACCAGAACATCGAACCGCAATACATACAACGAAAACTTGCATCTCCAAAGTCCCAGTATTCTGTAAATGTTTATGTAA